AATCCCTGGGATGGGGCCAGGCCCCTCCAGCTGCTGATCCTGAGAGCCCTGACCCTGTGAGTCCCATCCTGCATAGGGGAGGCCTGGAGCTGTGTGGGGTGAAGGGGCTGGGCTGCCATCAGCAGGGGGCGGTAGCCAAGGAGGGATGGGGTTGTGCTGATGGGGGTTTGGCTGGTCCTACATCCTTCCTCCTCATCTTCCTCCTCCTCCTTGCAGCAGGGTGTCTGTCCTTGCGAGGTGCTCCCGGCTGACCTGTGTCCCCGCTCTCTCTCCAGGCTGTTCCTCTAAGTCATTCAAGCTGTACTCGCCAAAGGAGCCCCCGAACGGCAACGCCTTCCCCCCCTTCCACCCGGGCACCATGCTGGATCGAGATGTGGGGTGAGCTGAGGCCTGGGGAGGGGTCTGCAAGGTTGGGCGTTCTCTGCAGTCTCCCTGTCTCCCTGTTGGGCTGCCCAGCAGCATATGGAGACTGTGGCTTGTGGAGTTGAGTTAGTGCAAGGGCAGAGAGGGGATCGGGGCAGGCACGGGCAGGACTGGGTGGAGAAAGGGGAATATTTAGCATGAAAGGAGCCCTCAGGTCCTCGAGGTCTGCAGGCCCAAGCCCATTGCCAGGCCAAGCCCCTGGGATGACCCACGACAGGGAGTGCTCCCGGCTCCTGTCACAACAGCCCCTTCTCCAACCTCCGTCCTGCCTGGCAACAGCCCCAGCTGCAGAGGAGCTGGGCATATCTCTGGAGAGCCATGAGCCAGGTCCTGGGTGTGGTGGAGCAGCCACCGGTGTGAAGTAGAGCTCAGTTTAAGGGGTGCAGGTCACACCATGGGGCCGTCAGACGTCAGCAGCCAGGGTGCAGCCCACACCGTGCGTGGGGTCTCGCCTCCAGCGAGCCCCACTGCCTGCTGCTGGAGGCAGGGAAGGGGGAGCTGTGGTGGGCAGGGAGGGAGACCCCCATCAGTGCTGACATGCCTGCATTTCTTTCACCCCCCAGACCTACTCCTATGTACCCACCGACATACCTGGAGCCTGGAATCGGGTAAGCACGGGGGCTGGCAGGGACCCTGCTGAGAAGGGAGCTCACGTCTGAGGCAGGGATGCCTCAGCGTGGCCGGCACACTGCTGGCTGGGGTTTGGGGGCGGTTGCTCAGATTGCCTAGCCCTGGAGAGGCCATGTGTCCCCTTGCTGCAGGCTCGGGACCCCTCCCCACCCCATGGCTGCCTCCCCCTCTGACTGCTTGCTCTTCTCTCTGGGACGGAGGCACACGCCGTACGGGAACCAACCCCACTAACGGCAATTTGT